AGCTGGACGGCTGTTGTTCAAGGCCGATGGTGGTCCCGCGACTACCAGATGGTTGACGGGAAGTGTGTCCTGACGGGCGGTGAGTGAAGGTGACTTGGGATAAGGATGAAGAGTGGTAACCTCTCCAGCATTGTCGCCTCTGGGACAATAATCCTCCATGCATTCGATGTCAGGGAGAAGGTGGACGTTTTCGTATTGGAGGCGAGCAAGAATCCAAAGACCCAGACACGGATGAGCAAGATCGCGCCCAAGAGGCGGCAAATCCTGGGCTGCAAATAAGCGATGGGTGATAGCGCCACGGATGTGATCAAAGCGTGCACCTGAAAGCGATGTGAGGGCAGGGATTTAGGCCGATATAAAGTGCTCACATATCGCAAACAACGGCTCGAGCCGATATCGCTGGTCAGGATTCGGGTTGGGCGCTCTCTTGTTGAGTTTCTTGAAGGTGGCTAGCGAAAATGTGTTGTCATTCATTGTAGAACAGGGTTTAAAAGTGGTGATCTCGCGATAACGGCTGGCTTCTAAGACGACAAAGGGCTGTTGATTGAAGGGGACAATGGTCGAGACATTGGCGATGCCTGGTGCTAGCGTAAGTTGAAGGTTGGCGTTGGACAGGTGCGTGTAGAGTTTGCAGGTGAAATCCTGCGCCGACACGAGGTCTGTGGAAGGAACAGTGTGATGGAAGTAGAGACCATGGAGATCAAACGCGGTAATGTAATTCAGAAGGAGTTCGCTTCGGATTTTGAAAGTCGGAGTTCCAAATGCAGCAGGCGCGTTGCCGCCGGAAGCCTGAAGAAAGAGATAGATGAGCGCAAGTAAAAGTGAGGAGGAGGAGGCATACAACGAATGGCCAAATCAAAACTGAGACCAAAGTCTCTGTGGAGGTCGGAGAGGGGCCATACGCAGTGTTGGAGGCCGACGCAGAGGCCTGTGAAACATGCTCCGGGTATGGATGGCGCGGGCCACGGTGTGGTGCTGAAGCGTTTGCGACCAGTCCTTGATGCTGAGGTAGACTGTGTAAAGCACTTGCAGTCCGACGCGCGGAAGTGGTCCCCACTGGAACTGGAACTATAGCGCCAGCCGGTACGGCGGGGAAGTGTGAACTAAATAGGGGGTTTTGGCTCCGGAACGCTGATAGGGCGTGTACCTAAACACGCATGGAAACTACCAAGTTTTCTTCAATTCTCGACCTATACTCAGGCAAAGTGAGACTAGAACTGAGGGAATATGTTCTCCTCGGAACAATATTCTACACCGCTTACGGTCGAAAGCCAGCAACTAACAAGCACTTTGGAGCCCAACCGAGAGCCTTAACGGGTGTCTTAGTTCAGCTCTATGGTCTACCGCTGGGCTCCGGGAGTTGGTTTACCACCAGACTCTTTGAGTACCGAGGTGATCAAGAGGAACTACTATGGTCTTGGCGGCTGAGCGCTACTAGCAGTAGCCTCATTGAGATACGGGATTTGAACCACAAACCCTACCTTAGGGTTAGGATCCGGCCAACGGTTGGACCTATAACTCGAAAGGAGTAACATCAAAGATTTGATACAAATCTCCCCAACGGTAAGACCAAAGGGAGTTGGAGAATGATACAGCCAACCGTTGGACAAGTTTTCCTCGGCCAACCGTTGGCTTCGACAAAGTGCCCACAATGGTAGACGGCTGGACCCGTCCTTGGCACTCCAACGGTTGAAGTTTGACTCGGACGGTACTAACTGGAGCATCGGTCGCCGGTTGGGCTATTTATAGATATCTGGCTTAGTGGCTAGCCATTGGTGGCTGTGCAACCTGACGGTAGAGACCCGCCTGCAGTACGAACATAGAAAGAAGGCTCCACCGTCAGGACAGTCTGACGGTAGGACTATTTTTAGACAAGATATGATAATAGGCAACTTTACGGGCCGAACCTCTTACGGTTGGACCACCTTAGAGCCAGCCGCCAGTTGGTCTATTTATAGCCTACTGGCCCAACGGTTAGCCGTGGCTGTGCAACTCAACGGTAAGGACCCGCCCATGGTAAGAGTGCAGGAAAAAGCCTCTACCGTTGGAGCAATCCAACGGTAGGGCTTTAAATAGACAAGATGCAAGATAATGAGACTCTACGGTAGAGAACCTCATACGGTCGGACTCCCTCCTACGATACGGGTTGATCTAACCGTTGATAGGAGATCACCTGATGGCTAACCATGCCAACCGGAACGACAGAAAGCTAACGGTTGGATGTTCCAGCCGGAGATAAACCTTCTCTGAAGATGGTCTGCCGTCGGTCCTGGACCAGCGGTAAGCCACCCAACAGAGTCCTCTCGAGATAAAAGCTATATAAAAGACATTGGTTAATGGCCAATGGTAGGGAACTGCCAGCGGTCACCAGCTGAACAGGATCACAAGTAACCACTAACCTTCGGGGTCACCGGGCCCAGACCACAATATGATATTCACGGGCCAGCGGTTGGCAACCAAAACTACCCACGGTTAGGAATACTCCAACCGCTATTGGACCGCTAACCACCAACCCACATGGCTCATCAATCACGACCTATCACGCCATTCCGAACTCATTCCGAATATTTCCTTTTAGCCTATGCAGTTTGTATAAATACAGTAGAGTTACACCAATGTACCCCAGTGAATCCGGCCCCCAGCCGTTAGTACCTCAGAGGAAAGATAAGATATAAAATTAGATTTTGTTGGAAAGCAATAAGATAGGATAGAGGTGTGTACGTCTCCGCGCAACCGCCGCCTGAGCACAGCCGCCTAGCCAGCCGCTAGCCCTTAGAAGCCGTTGTTGCCGACCGGAAACTAGCCAACGGGATTTGTCTCCCCGCCGCTACAGAGTACCGTCAGTGAGAATAAAGGAAAGCCTCGACGAGTGTGTACGTTCCATCCACTAGCCGCCGATTGAGCTTTGCTCTCTGCCGCCGCTATCGAGCTTTGCTCTAGCAATAGTTGGGAAATAAAGGAAAGCTCGACCTTTCGGTCTACAGTGGCTACTCTGTGGCAAGAGTGGTCACCGTAGCGTTGCAAGTACACAATCTCCATATTTTGTACTCGAGTCGAGTACTCTCAAACCATACAAACTTTCCTACGGGGGCCGCGACTTCAGATAAAGATATTGAATTGAATTGAATTGAAACCCAATTGAACTTGCGCTCAATATAAACCTTGTCCGCGGTCCACTTGTTGATAACACTTAAGAAAGCAACACTCCTGAGGGACAAGACGCCTGTCCCACTACCCCGAACTCACACACACGATTAGCTTCGGTTATTGGAGTTTGTGAGATTAGTTAGATTTGGTTGGTTTTTGGTTGGTGTTGGTTGAGTTGATAGCTCGCTGCGCCGGTCTGACCTGCCGATCTATCGATTTCACGGCTGCACCCGAGTGCGCCGTTTCAACGCATTCACTGGTGGCTCTGAAAACGCGAGAGGGAGGGGTTGAAGAGGCGTAACTGCCGGCGGTGCAGATCTAATGGGTTTAGCGTAGTCTAAAAGGAGAGTAGAGGCATACTGGACAGCAGGCCTGGAATAAGTAACGGTGTTTGAGTAGCGTACGTGCAAGAGAGAGAAACGGAGGAACACACCGACGCTCCTCCTCCAGTTCTTGTGGGTGACTCATAAATGGGAAGCCGCAAACGCAAAGCGTTCGAAGGTCCAAAGGGCGGAGGTTCTAAGTAAATGTAATGAGAGTCGCGCTGGAATTCCGGAAGAGCATGTTTACAGAATAGAAACCACCACAATTGGACTCGGGGCACGGTCCGCGCTGGAAGTCGTAGGCCGGGTCAGTCGAGTCGAGTAGGGGAATTGGGCGATGGGAAATCCACGCATGGCCGCAGGGTACAGCACAGTGCTCATTGGGGTTGTTTGCAATCTGTGAATGTAGCATGGTATGAGTGGAAAGACGTGATAAGGTGAATAGGGAATGTACAGCGCGTGGATAAGGGCGACCAGTGAGTGGGTTAATATCGCGAGCAACCCAGCTCGCACACTTGGAAGTGCCATTGGGAGGACAGAGTGTGCATCCCAGGCGGGCAGGCAGATGAGACATGAGAAGCAAAGGGAAAAGAGCGAAGCAAAAGATACAAGTACTTGACATGCGTCGGGAGCGAGCGGAACTGCGGCAGTGGCGGCGATCCCTCCTCACATGTATCCGAGCTGCGGTGATCCCTCATGTTCGCAGTGTGGCGGCCATGTGGTGTTTCTCTTGGCAACCGAGAAAATTGCAAATTGAGGATCGGCCATTCTTGCGAAATAGTTTGAACTCTGCAAGTGTTCATTTGGCTGGAGGAAAATGTTCAGCGAGAGCTAGCGAGATCTGGGCGTAGAACTTGACTTTGAGTTTGGGAAAGATGTGGCAAGAAACCATGGGATCTGGCGAGATATAGAGAAAGTGCGAGATATAGACAAAAATAGATTGATATCTGGGGATATTTGGCGAGATCTGGCGAGATATGGCCATTATCTGATAATCTTGCCAGATCTAGGCTTTGCAAATACTTTTGTCCAATAAGGACCTTCATACTCTGAACACAAATGTGTATGGCATCCAGGTGCCATTTAAGCCCGTTTTCGAGGTAGAGACCAAAACATTATTACTATATCTGGGCGTGGAAGCGTGTACGTGAGTGTACAGCCACAACCGTTGTGTGTTTTGAGGCGAAACGGTACATAGGGGCCTTCCTACAAAGGCAATTTCCCACGAGGGGGGGGGGGGGGTCAAGCCACTGAGCTGAGAAAAAAATATCGAGTCGGGGTATATATTTCGGGTAATGGGATCCCCTTGGAAACGACCCTCCGCTGCCAGTGACGGGCGCGCACACGCAGAGAAATGGCCTCGTTTGGGTGTACAGCTACTCAGTGTTTTACTGGATGTGTAGTAGGAAGAGTGGTGTACGATAGATAGAAGTCTGAACCTGAATCTCAACGAACGAATGTCCTTGGTCTAGTCAAAAAAAAAAGAAAACAAAGGGAGAAACGGATGCAAAAACGCCATCTAGACCATCACGCCCTCGGCAGGAGTCGAACTCCACGCCTTCCTCATTGAATCATTGTAGCGCATACAAATAGGAGGAAGCTCTAACCGCTGAGCTACGAGAGCATTGATTCTTGACTCAACACAATACATCAGGAAAAACCAAAATTCTAGGATAGAACACAGCCTTTTATGGGTGTCTTTGATTGTCTATGGATGTCTTTGTGCTGATCACCCCTTTTATGGATGTCTATAGGTCTCTATGAGTGACTTTATGTTCCAGTATCATGACCTTAATGTTTATGACACTCTATATTGTTCTATAGGTTACCAGTGTTGGAACATGTCCGGGTACTGAATTCAGAATTAGTTTAAAACAACGGCTCATACTTACAGGGTGTTGCTACATTTTAATTCAGTGTAGGTCAGGCTTCTGAAAAATAACGAATCCCATCAGGGAGCATAGCCTTGTGAGAAGACGCTGCACAAGACAAGTCATTACGGATGGAGGAGGAGGAGGGGGAGGAATAAAAATAAATTATATTGGTGCGGTCCCACAATTGGAACAGGATGGTGAATTATCGTCCGTCGCTTATGCCATCGTCAAATTATAGGTACATACAAGACAGCATTCAGATATATTTAGATTCTTCCCTGAATTGGGGGCGAAACATACCTATTTATATTGGGTCTCCTAGCTAGCAGAGGATCTAAGAATTAAATCAGAACTAACTTACTGTGCCGACAACACGGCAACAAAGGCAACACGCGCGGTGGCGGCCGCGCGACAAGTGGTGCCGTAATGTCACGTGCGCGCGAAAATGGTTCGGTTTGATGGTGGACAAACAAACACCACTCTTCCTTGCTTTCTCTTCCATCCACCGCTCTCGACGGTCCGTCTACCTCTCAACTCCCATTGATCCTGATCCGGCCGCTGTGCTCTGTTGGATGCTCGATGGGTGTGTCTCGCTTCGTGGCTAGTCGGCGAAGAGGTGCGTATTTGCTCTTTTAAATTTTGAGTCGTTGTCGGGTGGCTGTCTGCAGCCCTTCTTCGATCTCATTCGTCATGTTTATGCCCCTTTTACTCCTCATCTTTCTCCTCCCTTCCACACTCTCTCGTCCCCCGGCCATTGCCACTTCGGACGTACCCACTGCCTACACCCCCCTGCCCTTCCCATATCTTTCTCTTCTTGACTTATTCTTTGCTATCTGGTCAGTCTTCCACTAACTCATTGTCGGCAGATACTCAGTGGATCAAATCAAGCCGCCATCAGTTTCGCGGCGAGTCTACGCGCGCCCCGCCTCATCTCCCGCGGCAGCTCCGCTCTTCCCAGCGATGCCTGCTGTGCCCGTTCGTCTGCTGTTACTCGTCCCTGTCCGAGCCAATCACTGTCAACGTCCGACCATCACCACCCGACTTCAATTCCTTGTGGCCTTCACCATCTCGTCAAATTACCTGCCATCAAGATGCGGTAAGTGCGTTCAAACCCCACGACCGAACCGACGCACAGAATCAAAAAATTGACCTGAGTGCCCGTCGTGTCGACGACAACGAACGCAAACTCAACAGCAGATTCCGTCAAACTTCGTATGGTTCCACCTCAATGGCGCGCAATTTTCAAACTCACCTTGTACCTTTCCCGCCGGCATACAAAGTCGTTCCTCAAGTTACCCCAAGTCCTCAACGTAAACTTTAACATTCCACTATTGCAAAGCCAATTCTCTCTCTTGCGTCTCGTTGTCAAATCAATCTGAACATCGAAACTTAACTCCGTGTCCCCGTCCTTGCAAACTCGTGGGTCCTGTAGGTGCATATAATATACACCCCCCTCCTATTCACCTTCCTCGTCATTCCTCTTGTAGATCAGTATTCTACATATGCGTTCCATGCGCTGCAATATATATGTTTTTTGCCATTTTTTATGTGTGATTTGAGGTGACTACGGGAAAGAAAAAGTCGAAAAATTGTCATAGAAATGGCCCAGTTTCATAGAA